GCCCCAATTAAACCCCAATTGGGCGAGGATGACATATGTTGAATCTATCTAATTTTTTTGGTCCCTCTTACAATATAATATTTATTTAGGTGGAATGATTTAATATTGCAACTTATGAAAGATAATAAACGCCAATACTTTGATAGATAATCAATATATCAGTTAAAATTGTAAAAAAATTAGTACTGTGTTTAACTTATATCGCTTTTTTTTTTCTTCATTAAATTCTAATTTGATCCAATATCGATATAGAGAAACCATGCTTTTCTATGAATTATAAAAGTAAATCTTTTGAATTTTTTTTTTTACAGAAGTCAAATTTATATATTTACTTTATTTATTACATCCTGGATTATAAAAATTAAAACAGCGATTAAAGGCAAAAATTGAAAGGACTTTGTCAAAAGATATTAAAACGTATGCAAACAGTATACGCTATATAAATTTTTATTGATTCAAATTCGGTCTAATTTTTAAATGGGGTTAAGTTGAACCGAACGGTTGGCTTCACTGAACATAGCATGGAGAATTCGGCTTGAAAGGGGTGGAACTGAAACTGTACGTACGCTTTACGAATGTGGCAAAAAAAAAAAAAAAATCCGATAATTACCATATTAAAAACGCTCTGCACGTAATACAGTGCTGCAAAAGTATTTAAGTTTTTGAATTTTTTCATGCGAATAAGCACATAATGCGATACCTACAAAACATGCTATCCAATTTGGTTAGCTAATTCAAAATACAGACAATACTCAAACATTTTTAAAAGATACATTTAAGAGAAAATATGTTAACAATGATGCATCATTGTTCTAAAATAGGTTACAACTTTAAATTCTATAAAACTAAGATCATATGATTCTCTGGTTTTGCGATTTATTTAATTTTATTTGTTTATTTGTTTATTATTACAGCTATTATTAATACACTCATTATTATTGTAGTTATCATTGCAATTATCTTTGAAGGCGACGAAATGATAAGATTTCCGGTTCCTATTTTTCAATAACTCATATTGTGGCAGTGATGATTCTTAGTTTTAATAGTTTTTACTAACACTTTCGATATAGGAACGTAAATACTGTATATGCAAAACACAACTCAACACAAGAAATTCACATTAACAGATAATAAAGAATCTAAGTGAAACTAGGGGAAACTTATTTATTTTTGTCACCTACGCCTCTGGTATACAACTAGATCAACAAACCGGATTTTAATAATGGTGGTGTAACTGTTTATGCCTTAGACGCGTGAATGGATGTGCATGATTTTTAAGTGATGTGAAAATGTAATACAAAGTTTGCATTATTGAACATATTTTTGTCACGGAGTGGAGTAGCATTTGCGCGAGGCATGTATTTTGAAAGTTATGAGTGATTATCTATAATAAAAATAACCGGGTATTCATGAATCGCGTTATATTTTCTGCGTACATGTTTCAGAAGTGGGATTTACATTTCCTGTAAAAAAACTTTTTTATAGTAGTGCTTTTTCTTTTTTTTAGGTTTAATATCACAAGAAATATTTTTACGAATTCATTTAATGTACATCCTATTTCCTGATTCGAGTTAAATCGGACCAAACTCCAATCACAAATATGGACGAAACGAATAAATTGAACTGCTATGGACGGATCGGCTATTTAGCCACAACGTTGCGTAACACGTTTTGCAGGGTCCTTGGAAATATTTCTCGCGCCATGAGGGGTGCTCGAATATCGATAAGAAGCGCAATATGAGTAATTTTTTATGTTTTTATAGGTATTTTATTATTCGTTATCCGTTATTTCTTACATGTTGCTTAGTTCTTATATGTGGATCGTCACTACATAAAGAATAAAAAGAATAAAGTCGAAAGAAATTCTAAATAGAATTGGCAATATACTGTATAACTTTATTGCTATCGCCTATGACTGTGAGAAAATTTTCCTTCAAAAATGCCATTATTATGCTTTATTCATGCGATATTCTGATGTTTATCCGCTGCAAATATAGGTCCTGGAATACTTTATTTTTTCTCTGAAATGCTATTCATTATTGTTATTGTATAGGATAATAGCGTTGATTTATCATGAATAAAGCTATTTAAACACACTTATACGCGATAATTCACTTTAGAAAAAAAAAACAATAATTGAAATCAACCAATATCCAATTTCCCGATCTTCTCTAAATCATCGTTTTTAAAATGGCCGGAAAATATGGTGTAAATGCGGAAGGAAAAACCGAAGAGAGGAGTTATAACCTGAAATTATTAGAAATGGCCACGAACGAAAACACGAGCCTTCAAAAAAGCGCAACAGCACAATTATTGATGGCTTCTGTGATCTCATTTCTTTTCGCTGTCCTTGGAGCTGTTTTTCTCATTTTAGAGCCATCCGAGATTTTAAGCACTTTCTTAAATTCCATGACAGGGCTTTTGTGCGGAGGCATTCTTCTTTTAAGCATACAAAGTCTCATTTCTGATTTGAGTTCAAAGGGAGTTGACGCAAAAAAAATTAAATATGATTCAAAAATTAGCGATAACGTTATTCTACTTTCTCTGGAAAATTTTCAAGATAAGGGCTGCATTGGTAGTGTCACAAAAATTATTAAAGAACGAAGTAAAATTTTTCGAACGTGGAGAGTTTGGTGCTCTGTCTGGACCATCATGCTTACTATTTGTCTCATGGTTCTTATCTATTCTAATATTTTTATCGATCGTTTTGCATCGGACGGGGTGTCAACTAGTATTTCAGTAGAATACATTCTTATCGGCAGCGGAATTGTTGGTTTTATTTTCTGCATAAATACACATTTTATTATATGTATGCCAAGAATTTTCAAGAAGATATTTTTCTCTTTTATATACTTTTTACCCTTTTCTTTTATACTTTTCATACAACTATTTATGGTTCAAATCTTGCGCTTTAATCATGAAGCTGATGACGACATCACTGCGCCTTTAAACGTGATTTTTAATGAGATTATGGAGGAAAATATTAAACTTCGATTTTTCGGATGTGGAAATAGGTTTACTATAGTACGTATCGTTCTAGAAAAGAGCGAAAAACTAAATATTGAGCGTATTCTACATGGTTTAAAACCGAAGAACCCTAGAGATCCCGAACATATTCATGATATTTTTGATCCCGAGCTCTTGTAGGTCGTTTTTCAAATTGATATATTTCATAATAAAATCTTGTTTGCAACTTGTTATTGTACGAAAATATGGGGGAGAACTTACCGTTAAAGTTAACGCGAATATGTTATAATATGATCGTGAATTTAGAGACTATTGTCTTTTCGCATCACTGTAGAATTTAAATTAAGTATTTTATGCGTTTAAATAAATCACAGTTTAGCAGCAGAATTTAAGGAATGTTCTATTTATCTGAGAGTGAAACAAATAACCTTGTTAATTTAATCAAAGTTTACTGCTCATTAATGGTCTACAAAATTTTGTATTTTGCAAGTACACAGTATTTATTATTTGTCATACTCAGTAAAAATTTTTTGCAATTCAAAATTATAAACTAAAAATATTGAATAATGGCATACTTCTTGTTGAAATTTAAATATAAATATTTGTAATTTGTATAAAATGTAAATATTATTATCTAGATATTAATAAACTTTATTATTGTCAATACTAGTAAAATAAACCATCTCATCATCAAACACTCGACTTTAGTCGTTTGTAGTCAACATAAAAATATTCATTTTGCCATTACTGTATTTAAAAAATTATTTTCTAGATACATATTTTATACCGAAATATAAATATACAGCATTGTATATAATATTGCATACGTAGCGCACAACTACTGTAATATAAAATGTATAAAAATCAGTTGATGTACTAGATTTCTATTATTTATAATATAGGGACAAAAATTGTTGTATTATTACTGTAGTTATTTTTATTTAATTAAATATTTTTATTTCAGGAATTAGTTGTAAATAAATATTATTATGTTTTATTTGTATAAAAAGATTGAAAATTTTTGTGTGCTACATTGTATGTTTTTTTATTGACAAAATAGTTGTATCAAAACATGATTATTTTTAATGACAGATTCTTGCTTTTTTTTAAATACGTTGATAACTATAAATACTTTATAAAATAAATTATAATATTAATAAATCAATAACATATTTAAATATAATTATTAAATTAAAATTGATTAAAAATCAATAATAAAAAAATATTTAATTATTACAATAAAATAATTTATAAAAAATTATTAAATATTGAAATATTATCTGTATTTTAAAAATTCAATATTTAATGTTATTTAATATTAAAGTATTTGCTTATTGTATATTTAAACAAAGTCAAAACAAAAAAAAATTAATAAAACTGTTTAGCATACAATAAATAACTATTTTAATATATTAAATTTATAATATTAGCTTGCCTACATAACCCAACTAAGTAATAAAGAAAATAAATATTAAAACCTAAATATAGCAATAAATGTGCCAGGTAGCTATAGTTATCTACTTAGAGTTATTAATGTAAAAATAATTAAGTTTGAAAATTAAATTTCTATAATTTAATAAAATATTGAACTATGAAAAAAAGAAGATTTACAATTGTTTCTATTTTTATTGATTTAATATTTGTGTTTAATGGCTGTAGAAATTTAGCTAAAGAAATCTTACAGGTTTAATAGAAATTCCAATTCATTTTATTTCTGTGAAGATATATCAATAATTTTATAAATTCTATCACATATAATTGTAAAATAGAATTTACTGGAAAAATATTTGAATAAATTAATTTTTTAGAACTTAAATTTTTAATGGTTAAAATGCAATATAGGTGACACCTCTAGCAAAATCTGAAATAAATCACATGATACAAGCAATATTAGTAGACACAAATCCAAAATTAGTTATATTTGATTATATGATATACAATATTTTGATTTTAATAAATACATACACATATATATTCATTTTATAACTTATTTTTTGATTTATTTATTAACATATTTTAAGCATATACAGCTAGTTACAAATTTTATCAATTCTTGAAATATTGAAAAAGGCATAATCAACTTGTTATAGTATTTAATAAATATACAAGCAAGCTTGATAAGTCAGTTAGAAATGGCTAAGTATATTTTTTTAACCCACAATCAGACTGGTGTCTTTTATTTATACACTTGTTTTTATACTAAGTTGTAAAGAAGAGCAAAATTTTTTAATATTAATTTCAGTCACAATAAATATTTTATATGTAAATTTATATAATATTTTAATTACTTATCAAATGATCAAATTGATATATTATCTTGACTTAAATATAATATAGTATTAATAATGTTGATAATTAGATTCACTTATTTTTTTGTTTCAATAAACTCAAATAAATATTTTGTATTTATGATTTAAAGTTTGAACCTGGGATAAAAATATTTAAAATATTATTCAAAATACAATTGCTGAAAAAGATATAAGTTAAAAGAGTAACTAACAAAAGTCTAATTCTAAATAAAATTATATCACTATAAAAATTATTTTTATAGCTTTTGAAATATTTGATAGATTTAATTAAGTTTTTTTTTCTTTTGAGATTATTCTTACTATATTGGTCATATTTCAAAAAACATATTTTGAATAGTTCTAACTTTTTCCTAGAACCAATTGCAAAATGAAGTTTCTGAGAGTACCATTGTTTATAAAGATATTTTGAAAAAATTTTAAAAAATAAAGAAATTTATCAAGATGTTTAATCAATTTTTCTTTAAGATTAATACTTATGTAATAATATTTTTTTATCTTAACTGAAATTAAATTCAATTTTAAAAAGTAAGAGGTTTTCAGAATTGGATCTGATTATATTTATAATAGGTATAAACTATCTTTGTAAGATAATGTGGCAAGTAAAAAATAATAAAGAAGCTTAATATATTGATCAATATGATTTGATCTTTAGAATCTAAAAAAATTATAAATACTTATTGTTTGCTTCTTTCTATTAATATAATGTTAAGAAAGTTAGAATTGAATTTGTTTAGAATTGATTTAAAGATGTAATTGCTATTAGAGCTAATGTTATAGTGGAATTTGCTATTATTGAATGTTGTTTATTTGTATTCTATAATATTTTTATAGAGTTTTTTTTAATTATATTATTAATTATTATATTATATAATAAAAATATATAAATAGTATATATTTAATTTATATTTTTGTTATATTGTTTAATTAATTATTAATTAAAAATTAAAATATAATAAAAATTTTAAAGTCAAGTTAAAATAGATAAAATTGATACAAAATTCAAAATTTTTATTAATATACTTAAAAATATATTGCAAATTATATAACCAATAAATTTATTTTAAAAATTTTTATTAGCTTATTTATTTATCTTAATTAAAAATAATACTAATAATAAATCTAAAGTTTTTATAAAGTTTGAAAAATATATTAACTGGGAATATATTTTTTAAAGAATATAGTAATAAAATTTTTTAATGTGTTTCTTCTTTTAATAAGAATTTTTTATTATATATCAATTTAAATATTTAGTTATTAAAATATTCTAGAATTTTTTAAAAAATTAAATAAACAAGAGATTTAATTTACAAAAATAAATATTATTTAATAAAATATATTGTTACACTTGATCTTCGCCCAAGATCTTCACTATCCCTTATCCAATTTTCACTAGCATTTACTCTTGAAATGTTACTCATTCTAGAATAATTCTTGTATTACTATTCTTGTTATTGTTTAGCACTGTACTTTTCATGCTAATGTTGCTCTAGAA